GCAGCGGGTGTTACCTGCACACAGGAGTGTCCCAGGAGCGGGTGTTACCTGCACACAGGTGTGTCCCAGGAGCAGCTCCGGGAGCGCTGTGGCTCCTGTTCCACTGGGAGTGCAGAGCAGTGTCTGTGACAGCCACATGTGCTGTGGCATTCACAGCCTTCCCAGTTGTTTTCACAAGGCACGGCTGATAGGGGCTGTGTTTTGGGTTTGTTTCTGAAGCTTTCCCGTGGAAATGTTTGATAAGGTGTGAATCCTAGCATTGATGGCTAAGAGTAGGCAGCAGTTCTACTGATGTGCTGCAGTCAGAAACTCTGCAGGAACTGGATTAGCTCTGTTTCAGTTTCAGCACTTCTGTGTCTGCAGTGATGTTGTTCCTGCAGTACCACGTTGCAGCATTTGATTGTGAATTGTAGCCTGAGAAGTATGTGGCAGTTTCAGTAAGTTAAACAAAACTTGGAGAAACACAGTCTCTTCAGTTAAAAATCCTAAGAACATAAGATTTAACAGTCTGGGCCAGACCAAAGGTCTGTCTGGCCTACTGTCTTGTTTTCAGCAGTGATTAGTAGTGTAGTTATGGAAAAAATACAAGTGGTAAGTGTATAGAATCAGTAGGCAGAAGTGCTGTGGTTGTTAAGTCAGTCCCTGCCTGTGGGAAATCCCCCTGGAGTGTAGCTGTCACAGGTCAGAGCACTCGGAGGTGGAAGCCTGGGTTTGTGTGGTTGGATCCACAATCACATCCCGGGCATATGGACCATCCTGTCCAATGCCAGACAAGTCTGGGGAGAGATCCCTGTGTTCCAACCTTCTACAAACCCTCTGTTTGTTATGGGCATTCATCTTCAATGACAGGAAATACAGCACTGTTGCAATGCAATTAATGACTTGCTCTTAATTACTTTTAGTGACCTGCTTCTTTCGATAGTGGATTTGATTTGCCCAGATTATTTCTGTATTACTTCAGCATAGACCCCATTCCTTTAGTCTTTGAAGGTGTTTTCAGGACTTGGATTGTAGAAGCAATTTTCTGTTGTTACTTCAAGTGGCATTATATCACAAAAATTTGCATTTTGCTCAAGTGATTTAGTAAAATTGCAGTCAGGTTGTAGAGCTTATGGGCATAGGAAATAGCTGTAGTTCCCACACCTACGGTGTCTTTCGCAAATATAAAGTATTCCAAAAAAGATTCCTAGCCAACACCTTCCTAAAATGGGATTAGTGGTGCCACTTCATAAAGATCCTACTTCAACAGGGTTCCAGTCAGTCATGTTGTTGGAGTGGGAGGTTTTAATCAATTAAAAGACTAATTTCTCCTTCCTTCCCACAAAGTAAACACCTGGCATTGCTGTACAGTAGACTGGGGCTTTTCCCTCTTAGTGAACCCCAGATGTCAGTTCTGCAGTGTTTGGCAATGCTCTCATGATGTGTAAGAGTTAAAGTTTAAAAATCGTGAGTTAAAACAGCAATCCTGTTGTATCGAAACTTCCATGGTGAGGGGTGGCTTATCCCATTGGCCTTCAAAAATCTGTACTGAGGCTGAGCTAAAGCAGGGCCCCCCCTTTCCAGAGTCAGCCATGAATGGCTGAGGTTCTCTTTAGCACCCTCTTTTGGTGCGTTGCGTTAGTAAGGAACCCCCAGCTCTGTGACAGACTAAAAGTGCGTGTAGACTTGCTGAACTCTGTGTGGACACTGAGTACCTGCTCCAGAGCTGCACTATCGTTAGTTCTCTGACTCTCACACTGGAGCACTTTGCTGACTCAAAGACCACAGTTAATGCACTCCCACTGTTTACCTCTCCTTTTGCTTTTGCTCACAATGTTAAAATACAGTTCTTGCTAGAGAATATTGTATTTGTTGCTTGGGAACCGTATACCTGATGCTCAGTAGTGTCTGGCAACTGCTGCTCTTCCCTAAACCAATCTAGGAGAGAAGGTTTTCTTCCTGACTCTCTGGAGAGGGAATTTAAGACCCAGCCATGAAAATACGACAGGACTGAGTAAAGTTCTTCATGTCTAAACATTTGCAGGATTATAGCCTACTGTAATAATGGAATAGTCTGAAAACCATGTCTATAAAATCTCAGTATGGCACTGTATCAACACAGTCTATGTTCTTTATACACCCTTCAGGCAGTCAAGTTTGAAGAGTTTCTTTATCTGTAGCATTTCTATACCATCTTGTGTCTGGACTCTTCTGCCTGCATGTTCCCATTGGCCACATGTCTGACTGAGGCCAAAGATGTTTTTGTGTACATTTTTGTACAGTACCTATATTCTGTTTTAAGGAAAAATATACACATACATTTTTCTTCTTTATTAATAAACGGAGTGACAGTTTAAAATAAATTCTTTCAGCTGTTTGGAATGGTACCCAGATGTACTGACATATTTCAGAGTGAGTTGAATAGGCAGAAAAGCATTATATCACTAACAGAGCTGAGGAAGAGGAGCTGTCTCTGACCACTAAAGCAAAACAAAGCAGTGCTAAGGTGGTGGTGCTGAGGAAAATAAGCCAGGCTGTTCTAATGCTTAGCTGAACTATGGAAGTAGCAACAAAAGGGAGAAAAATCTTACCAAAGGAAAATTGTGGGGCAAGTATAAAGGTGTACTGTGGAGTGAAAGAGCAACACTGAAACAGGTGGGGGAAAAAACAGAAAATCAGTTCAGGACGTAAAGTAAAAAAAAGGGGGGGAAAAGGCTTATGAAAGCCCTATAACAGTAACATGATTGATATCTTCACAGGAGGAGAGGATTGGGATGAGGGGGGAATAGGCATTGGTTTGAAGACCTATCTGACATCCAGGCATGGGAATACCAGTCTGAAGTCTTTACCTCTCCTTGTAGATGGTGTGAGAAACTCTGATGCCTTACTGCATTTCATTCCAGGGCCAGGTATCACCTCACAGTGGGTAACCCAAACCTGACTTTCAGGATGCTTAAGTCTTAACAGGGCTTTGCTCTCAGACTTGGCAGTGAAGAGAATATTCCCTTGCATTTAGATCTAACTTGGGTGCATGTGCAGGTAATTGTTATTCCAGAGAGAACAGGAGAGGAGCTCCTGAGGGGTTGGTTCAGAGTATGTATGTTAGAGTGGTGAGAGGGTCACCATTTTTAGAGCTTTACTGACACAAGTGCATTAGGAATGTTGGTGTCCCTGGCTATGAGACTGCCCTGCTGAATGCTGCCTGTTAGCAGTGATTTATACCACATGTATTGATGGTCATGGTTGGCTGATTAGTCTGAGCACAATTACTCTTCCCACTAGTAATTGGTGTAGTAATTTTAAAGGACTGAAAACAAGAATGATACTCAGGAGTAAAGGTTGAAATATTTTTTTCTGGTAACTTTTCTTTAAACTTGCTTGGCTGTGAAAGTAGAGGAGACTTTTTTACTCAAAGCTTTCAAGGTTTGCTGCAGTTAAATTGAGTATTTTCAGAAACCTTGTCATAGTGCTTCCCTGAGGGTAAAGTCATTCCTCTACCAAGTGCCGTTCATGCCCCACTTACCCTCAGTTAAGGCTTTCAAAATAACTTTGCAGTGGGACACTGGCCTTCTGCTGAAACACATTTCTCACCTGCAGGAAAGGCTGTATTTAGTGTCTGTATATCTGTTCTTTCATTTTTTCCATCATAAGGATAACATATCAAATTTATTATTTTTTCTTCTTTCTCTTTGGAAACAGAAAGAATGACTTACTGGGGAACCAAGCTAGAAAATGAAAGAAGTGAAGATTGGTCATCTCTGCAGAGGAAATGACAAGGTATGCATAGCAATCACACTGGAGATTCTTTTTTTGCTGCTGCTTAGGTCTTCATGGTAGATTACTTCTGGCAATAAAGTTTAAAAGTAGTCCTCAGAAACCTTGGAAAAGATGTTTTGAAGAGAACTTTTTCTTCTGTGTGATTGTCAGAGTAAGCAAAGTAAGTATTTATATCTTTATAAATAACTTTGAGATACACCTTTAAAGTCATTACTATGCTGAATTGTAGCTGTGTTTGTACAGGTTAATGGGAATCACATTCATGAATTGTTTTTTTGGCAGAGATCAGTAAAAACAACTGTTCTCCCAACTCTAAAGTGAAACCCCTCCAGATACTATCAATGGTCATTCTTGAGACTTTAAAATACTTGTTTTATGGGCTCATTTAAATCACTGCATGCTCAGTGCAGCAGTTGTACCATTTTCTCTTCATCATTTATCACCATTACAGGATGTGCTTAGTACCTATTTTGCACTGCATTTAAAGAGTGTGTCCTTTTACATTTGTCATCCTGTAGATTTGTAACTTGAGGGATGCAAAATCAGCACTACTAACAACTCCTGCCTCTCAAATATTGTCAGTAAAGTGAATGTATAATGTTTAGCCATGACTGCTAAGAGACCAGACAAAACTATATGCCACTTAAGTTCTGAGGTTAAATGTTACTTCAGTGATGCATAAAATTTGTATTGAACTGGAGCAGGTCAGCACAAAGTGACCACGGGGAGAGCTGCTGTTGTGACCTCCCTTTCCAGCTTTTTGTGTAACATTGAGAGGAAAACTGTGCAGATCTTCCTGTAGTACTGAGAGGAACCACAGGTATAGGGCCATCAGTGCTTTCCCTTTTGTAATCCTGCTAAATGCCTCTTTGATTTCCTTTAGTAAATGTCAGGTCACATGTTGACTGCCTGCATTCTAAAACTGAAGTATAAATCATCTCCTCAAGTGACAGAAACTGTCATTTTTCCTTGCAAAATATTTTTCTAACTATATCTTATGTAACTGTTACAGTTGTTGACATTTTTCTTAAAAGCCCTGTTGGTTTGACACTCGGGATTTCGTATGAAGCTGTAGACTAGGAGAGAGAATTCTTTTGCCTTTGCTTCTATCTCTGTCCCATGAGCGGAAGAAAGGAATATTACATATCTCTGAGTCATGCTGTAGAAAGTTATTTTATTTTTAATATCATTTGAATTTTAGAAGAAGGAGAAGGATAAACCTTAGCATAGGTGAAACCAAGAGTTAATATGCTCCAGTTATAGAAAGTGGCTATTAAATTTTGATGGGATGCTATGACTGGTACTTCAAATAAAATGCTGGTGTAGCAATGTGGGGAGTGTCGATAATGGGTTGAATACTAGAGAAAGGCTGTTGATTTTTAGGGAAAATATATATAAAAATACGTGATCCTCAACCAAAGGCATTCATGTGGATACATCTATTGGAAAAAATCAGACTATAGACTTCTTATGTCTGTCTTGGCTTGTGTCTACAAGAAAGCAGCCCCATATAGCTGTGTCTTGGCATAGAAATGGGCTGAAAGTACTTGCTCACACCAGATGTTTTATTGTGCCTAGTTCCTGCCCAGCTTAAGGGTGATACTTGAGCATTAATAATCTGCTTTCCCCCTGCTCTTACGTGCCTGCAGAAAACTATTGATATGTCTTCCTAGTGGGTCTTTCTTAGAAGAAATGGTGCAGAATGTGGAATTAGTTGGTGTGAAATTCCTGCTGGCAAGGCTTTTGACTTTTGGCTTCTGCTGGATCCAGCTGAGTGATGAAAGAGAGAGCTCTTGCAGGTATTTCAACTCTTCACCAGTGCTAATCTCACCCTCATAAGAAGTAAATTGTTCTGGAAAAATAAGTTGAAGACACACTTGTGTTCCTTCTTGAGGGAATGCTGCAAGGGCGATCTGGAATGCCAGGACTTTGGTCTTGAGTGGGTCCATTAATCCTGCATCCAAGTCCAATGGTTTAGTTCAATTTTAAGCAAGCTAGAGATGTTTATGATAAATGCAGGGTATTTTCAGGCACATTTAGGAGTCTGAAGGTGTCCCTATGGACATAGTTTTACTCTCCCAAAACCAGGATCTGAATTGTTTGGTTAAGTACCCTGTGGCTGCCAGAGAACATTGCTAAGTCTAGAAAAGAGAGTCAGATCTTGATCTAAATATCTCTGCTTTTTGATGAGAGACTGTCTAATAACCTTCAGAGCGAAGAGTTGAACTCCACACAGACACATGTTGGAAGGGAGGCTTTTCTCAGCTGAAAGGAGGAGTGAGGAGTGCCCTCCTCACTGCCATAAAGGAAGACCAGACTCCCCACAGAGGTTAGAGCAGCCTACCTTGGCATCTGTGACATCTCAGGATCATGAGTTTGGGGTTTGTGGAATCCCAGTTCCCTTCTTGTCAAAGCCAGGAGTAGGAGGTGGCCCCCAGGAAACAGATGCCCTGTGTCAGGTGCCCCTGTTAAATGGTCTTAGCACTGAAGATTCTCAAAGCTGGTTCCTGGACATTACATCGTTGCAGTGTGCACAGGAAAGAACCCCATGGCTGCAAACAGGGTTTTCCTTTGGTGCTCTCTGTGCACCGTGGGTTTGTTGGCTCAGGAAAGGTTCTGTACAGTGTGGATTCTCCAAAGCAGATGGCAAACAATGATTAACCGGTTCCTTCCAACTGCTCACTGATGAGCAGACTCCAAGTTGAACCAGTTATTCATATTGAATTAAGCTTTAAAAAAAATCGTGTACTTAGGAGCATAAATGTTCTCATCTAAATGGAAACTTTCCCAGAATAGTTCACTTGGGGCTGCATGGATGTCTTCAAGCTTATTTCTAATGGTAGAGGATATGAAAAAGTAAATGATAGCAGAATATGATTATAGTTCTTAATGTAATATAAAATTATTCCATTGTAAGTGAAATACTGATGCACGGGGGCAGGACCTCTGACCCACCTGCATTTGCAAGCCTCTCCTACGCAGAAGTAAGTGGCTTGTATGTGGCTGTTGAGACTTACTATCTTGTCTAAAGCTTCTTTAAGATTTGAGTGGAAGCACTGCTCTAACAGCAGTATCAAGGATTTGAGATTTATGGCATTAAGAGCTAATGGGAAGCACATTTGCTGTACATTCACATTCCTGAGCTGTTTTACTCACGGCACTTCAAGGCCAAGTGAGGCCTAGGATAGATGAGCTTTCGAATGAAAAAAAGAAAAAGTGTTTTACTGTTGCTAATTTGAGCAATGGTGTGTGTGCTGCCATCAGCGAGATCATACAGAAACAGGCTGGGGGCAACTGTGTGGGCAGCAGCTCCATGGTGAGGGATCTGGGGGTCCTGGGGCACAAGCAATGAATAGTTACCTCAGCATTTTTCTGTAGGGCTCTGCCTAAAGGGGAATCACAGCTTCATTGCATGATAGCAAATTGTGATTGACTTCACGAGGCTCTGCATTCTGTCAGCTTAAACGGGGATCACTGGAGGGCTCTTCAAAGTCAGATAATGCTTTTAACGTGTGGAGAACTTAAGAGAATGTTTTGAGTTCTCCTGAAAGTGTGTTTCACAATATCAGATTCCTTTAGCATAGACACACTGAAGTTATGCTAGTATTGGAAACAAAAACCCCAGTATGTCCTCTCAGCTTTGTACCTGTGTTCCTGTAAGCACAAGTACTTCATTGAGTTGCTCCAAAAAAAAAGGGCAAACTGCATTGAAGAAAAGCTTCCTTCCTATGATCACCAAGCAAGAAAGTATTTCCAAATTTCAGAAACTGTTGGCCAGCTCTGACATTTAGAAAGCACATCTTAAAAAGAAAGACTGTAAAAAATCCAAACTTTATCACGTGAACTTGCTTCCAGCCTGGAAAAGCTTGCTTTTTACAGCCAGGATAAAACACATAACCTGCAGGGTACACATCCAGTGCTGTGGTAGGGTATATGTTCCTTTGCTGCATGTCTGACGAGGGGAAGGGGTTTGACACAGCTTGGGCTGGCTGGATATAAAGGCAATTGGCAGCAGAGCATATATAGCCCTGCTGCTGTTGTGTTTGTGTGATTAAAAAACGCTCAGGGTATGTTTCCTCTTCTTCAGGAACCAGGCTATTCTAGTTCATAACGTTGCATATGCTATTGGTTACAATATTTTTAACTGTGTGCATTATGTGTGAGTATAGATAATGATAAACTCACACTGGAGTCCACTTGGCCTGTAAAAATTTTATGCAACTCTGAGGAAAAGTTACTAAATAATTATTAAAAAACCATTTTGGAAACTGAGGGGCCTGTTTCAACAGCCCAGCCTTAATCCTTTAATGCACTCAGTGTTTTGGATGAGTGCAGGTGTACATGTAATTATGAATTTAAAATGGTCCAGGAACATTTAAGAACAAAAATACTGCCAATGTAGTAGAGGCTAATTTCTGGAAAATAATGGCTACAGAACCATTTGGTAATTTTCAAGCCTACCCTTCCAAAAGAACAATCTGGATCTAAGGAGTGTCTGTCGCAGGTTATTGCCAATTTCAATGTTTGGCATTTGTGGTGGATTTTATACTAATATTAATAATGTATTTTTGTTTCTCTTCTTCTTACATTTTAACCCTCGGAACTTGTTTTCTTTGCAGTGTTTTCTCTGTAGTCGTGATGGATTTTTATATATTTGTAGAGAATCTGACATAATACATTAGTCCAGTAGCTGGAGCATTAGAAAGCAAGAAACATAAGACTTGCCATTCTGAGGGCTGCTAATATTGCTTTTAGGGTTTGGGAAGAGTTTTTCTTCCAGGCACACTTGCCTGCGTGTGTGACTGCAGTCCATGACACACACTGTGGTTAGCAACAGCTCCTGTGTGTCATGGCTCAGGTTCCCATACACCCTGACAGTTTGCACATTGGTGAGAGCCATGACATTTTCCTGCATCTGCTCTCATCACAGATTCCCTTTCAAAGCAGCACTTCATTGATGCAGTGCACTGACACATTTTACATGTAATTGCTTTTCATCTGGTTGCATGATTATTTTGTGACACCTAGTGGATAAATTGATAGTGGTGCCGCCTTAAATTGCCTCTGTTTTTTTAGATTCTCTTGATAGATGTTCTGGCCTGGAAACTCAGTTCCCATCTCAAACACATAGGCTCTCTTGCTTTCTTACTTTCACTGCCTTTTTTTTTTTCTGTTTAACTTTGCTCATGGAATAACTTGCTCATAGCCAGGTGAACAAATACCCAACACCAGTCTTGAGGAAATTCCAAGAGTCCCAGAACAGTACAAGGTAGGAAACGTTTGAAAATTCCATGATATGGTTTAGTCAGGACCCCTCTGTGTGCAGCCTGGGATCTTCACACGTCATCCTTTGCTGCTGCATCACCGTTGTTGGTGGTGTGCTTCAAGCATGCAGTTCCACTGAGAATAAGCATGTACTACATAAAGTTATAAAGGTTGCAGAGGAGTACTTATATTCACTACCCAATGAGGACTCTTAGAAATACCCATCCTTTAATGTTCTTAGAGAATGAAATCTGATAAATAATTAAATACTATTTTATACACACAAGTATGTTTTCAGAATGTTTACATCAAGAAACAGAGTCTAGAAATGCCTTAAATGCATGACCTACTTTCACAACTAAGATACATCTTGCGAAGTAAATCTTAATTTACATGTCATGGATTCTGTGCCTGCAGCTTCTTTCCCCAACAGGAAAATATTGAAATACTGTCCAGTATGTTTGCTATAAATGCTGTGTGATAGAAAAGCAGGTGTTTTTATATGACTCTATTTTTTATGTTGGTAAGGGAGGGGAATCAGTTATTTCAGTTTCACTAGGCCTTTCTGCTGTATTGCTAAGTTGATACTGCCAATGGGCACGTTCCTGTCTTCAGAGAATGTATAATCTGCTCCTTCCCAGACTGATTGTACATTTTGAAATCTTTGGCATCCCAGAGCAGGCGCAGAGAAATGGCTAAGATAGGATTTTAGGAGTTTTCAAATAGGAGCTAATAGAAACTGTAAGGCAGATGAATTTGGAGATGAGGGATTATGTATTTTTCATACGTGGGGAATTAGAATGGAATTGTGCAGATGACGTGAAGAAATTGATTCTAAAGACCATCTTCAAGATTTTAGGTTTCAGCTTGTCACTATTCCGAGAAAATGTATTGCATATTTCAACTCCCAAGAGGCTTCACAAACAGAAACTGTAATACTGAACTATGTCTTTAATACCGACTGACGAGGCTCTCCTTCCCTGTGCTCTTCCCAGCTGCTCATCCTAACAGTTCTCTGGTGGCTTTCACTTATGTAAAATTAGGGCCTGTGGCAACAGCATCATGAATAATGGACACAGAGTCTAACACACCTCAGCTCTGCCACCGCTTTGAGTCCCTTCAGGAAGGTTTAACCAGCCAAAGCTTCAGCCTGGGGTACAAAGGCTTGCCCTGGAGTCAGTGTGTGGCGAGGCCTGGCCAGCCCAGGGGACAGCAGGGTGTGTGGAGGGGGCCGAGAGGGGCAGTGCTGTGTGTCTGGTGGGACAGCAGGGTGTGTGGAG